AGGTACATTTTTTTAGTAAGTGGTATAATTTAATTCGCGATGGTACACCCGCCATTTTGACTCTCACTTTATAAGGCTTGTATATTGTAGACGCATTGCAATTTTAACATGAATTGAATGTTACTTATGAATAAAAATATTGCTCAATCGACAAACCTCAAGAACATCATTATCACAAGTCAGAAACAACGTTATCCAAATATTGAAAATTTTCCTTCCTAAACCACTTATTTTATTATAAGGCAAAATTGAGTAATTAACAAGTGGACAAATCGGTATATATCTAAATATTAGAAATGTTATATTAAAGATTGAAAATTTATCGATTGAAGTACATGGACAAAAGTTGTGAAACATTTTTATTGCTTTTAACATGAGAATTTGAAAAAGTGGTACGGAAACATTCAAGCAAGCATTGTTGTCCGTTTTAAGGCATTCTCATAACTTTTAATATAAACTAGCTAAATATGCCTACTAAAATATCCTTATAAACCTGTATCTAAAAAAATCCCTTACACTTTACATGTTACCATACTCCCACTTTGTGGTTACAATGCAAATATCAAATGCACAATACACATACATAAACCGGATCTAGCAATCTAATTGTATTTAAACACAACAAACAATTGCTTTACTACCTAAATATACCATTTACATTGGTTAGCTAATTTCGAGCCAAAATAGGGATTTTTTTTTATTATTTATTAACTATTAAATGTTTTAAAATAGCTATTTTCGTTTACATCATAAAAGCTTTGATAGAGTAAAAGTTGATGAGAGTTATTTAATACATAAATTTAGAACATAAAAAATCATAAAATTCCATAATTCACATGCAGTTGTGATGTCATTTTAATTTGTAAAGTAAAATTTAATTTGTAATAGGTTATAATACAATAAAAATATGTTAATATTGCTTTTTTTAAAAAATTGTAAATTATTAAGATAATTGCACAGAAATGTGATGACAAATTATAATTGCGGGGACAATGACATATAACATAGTTAGAGATACAACACTAGTGATGACCTTCCCTAATGAGATTACCTGATAAAACCTACATTAGGTGAAATAGCAATTTTTTTTTAAACATGTTGTAACTGGGTTGCCTAATCCTAGCCTGGTTAGCCTATGATTAGGCAATGCAGTAAAAAGATAGGCAACCCCACCTTAGAGTCATGTTTACATTACGTACTATCGATTGGTGACAAAATTTTCAGGATACTCGATGAGGAGTTTTTGCTGAAAAAATTGCCGACTTCAGAGATCAATTAAACATAGCCTTGCCAGGCTAGGATTAGGCAACCCGGTTACATGTTTAAAAAAATGTGCTCTTTCACGTAATGTAGGTTTCGTCAGGAAAACAAATGAGGGAAGGAAAAACGCTTTGTAGCCTAACACATTAGTTCGTTTTATGCAATAAAAGATAATTTATTTCATTAAGAATTGATTAAAAAGATATCTGGTAAAACGAATTAGGTACAGTACAATAGACTATGTCAAAAGTCAAAACTATTAACTATTGAGATTATTGGTGACCGACGTGACGAAGACAGTTTTCATCTTAATGAAGACTGAAAATTCATTCATAAAAGATCCGAAGACAAGATTTAAGAGAAGACTTTATTATATTAATATATAAGTGCAAAAGAACAATATGCAACGATTATTTTTAACTAAAATTAACACTATATTAAAGTGTCTATTATGTAAAAAAATACAAATATTTAATTTCCTTTCAATGGCAGTTTAGGTATGGGTGTATACAAATAGTTATTTCATTGTCTGTACTAAATTCGCTCATAGCATTTGTTAAATAATCTCTGTTCTCGTAATGCTCTAATACTACAAATCACAGATCTCTGTGTACCTTCTCCTAAAAATGTCTTTAAATTTTGTTACTTGAGTCGATTACTCAATAACATGATTATATTTTTAAACATTTGCACATAAACTTCTAACAATTCTATAATTGTGTATAGAACAGTAGAAATAATGTAAATACGATATTGTCTTGAAACATCATAACATTATTATGGTGAATTACTAAAATCTATTTTCCTTTTTAATCTTGTAAAACTGCGTACAACCATTACATATCGACCTAGTATTTTAGCGTTGTCACGGTCAACGAAATTAGAAAAGCAAATCAAAACACAATAAATTAAAAAAAAAATTCACACCTCAGCAATCACAGACGTAGGGGCGGACGTGGAACCGTCGTGTACAGACGAGACCACAGTTATAAACATCCAACAAATGCAAACATTACGCGAATTGACATTACATAGTCCATCCAGTGGTAGCGTCTCGAGCTGACCTTTCACGTTTAAAGTCATAATAAATAATAAACTTAACATACTGGAGAGCTATTTACAATCAAATGCAAAATTTTGCTAATATGCTTAAAATAGAATGTAACGAGGTGGCGGAGGCGCGGTGTTACGTTGATATCACGTCATGTTGACGCCGAGCGAGCGGCTCGCGTACTCGTACACCACGTACGATATGGACACGGCGGGGATCACCTTGATGAAGTTGGGCGTGATCCCGCGGTACAGTCCCACTAAACCCTCGCGCTGCACGATGTCGCGAAACACGCCACGCATCGTGCCCTCGGCTCCCTTTGCTGCTTTCTCTGAAATAAAACATTAAACTGTTTAATATTTCGTTTAAAATTAATAATAATAAGCCAGATTAATATCACATTACATTAATTGACTTGAATTGAATACATTATGTTAATTAATTAAATTATTGTCACTTTTTTGATTTTGTTTACTTTGTTATTGATTTATTATCTGTTTGTCCTAGTTGGATATACACCTCTGCCAAATACTCCCATTCTTCCCTTCTTTCTTTTCGTTAAACATTATCAAAAACTATTTGTTGGTGTCTCAGTAGAACAAGAAAAATTACCTTGTGCCTGCAATCTGGTCCGTACGAGAGCCAAGGGGTAGGAACAGACTTGTCCGAGGGTGCAGGAGGCGCTGCCGCAGGCTAAGAGCAGCAGCATGCCGGGCTGACCGTTATGTGCCTGGTACTTGCTTATATACTTCTTCTTAAGAGTCTCGTACACAGCCAGGTCGATGCCAGCATACGGTACGATACCCAATATATTTGGAATGTAACCTTTGTAGAAACACTTGAGACCCTCTCTGGCATAAATTTTTTTCGCTGCATCTAATATGCCGCTATACTGCCCAGTTTTTCTTAAAGCTAATCTTGTCTTTAGCACCTCTAATGGGTAGATCACAGTTTGACTGATTGCACCGGCTGTTGCGCCAGCGACGAATCGCTCGTGTATTGCTAGCGGGTGGTTCTTCTTCTCCCCCTTTATTAAACGTTTCACTTGCTCGTAAGCGGCGAACTTCAACGCAGATTCTGGAGCTATCTTGATCACGTTTATACCATTACCGCGCCATAAACCAGTAACACCACCTTCGCTTATCATTTTCGCTAAACATTTGGCCATATTTTCTCTGGTCGGATTCACCTGAAACATAAAAAAAAATCAAAGAATTTTTAAAAATAGTATTAGTCATCAGAAATTACAGAGATTGTTTATTAGGAATTAGACATGTATCGAGTACTCATTTTATTCAATTCCATTTTATTCAAATGTAATTTTTAAAAAAAGACAAGGAGAACGTTAGTTATGAATGTGGAAGGGTACACCGGTAGATGTAGAGCTAGAAAGAGATGGAGGTAAGTTAAGGAGGATGATGATGATGACATTGATAAAAAAGATAGCACTATACAACAAACATCATAATTAAAATAAAATGTTTTACCTGTAGGAATACTTTGAGTCTATCTAAAGGCGCCGTGCATGTCCTGCTAACAGCGCCGGCTATGCCTCCGGCCAGCAGGTGGCGCCACCACTTCCCGGTCTGCAGTTCGCTTTGTGTAAAGTCATCGGGAACATTCATGTCTTCACCGATGTCCAAATACTGGAATACAATTAAATACGCTTATTTAATATACCGTATATAGACAAATTATATTATTATTTTCACACAAAAAATACAGTGAACTAAGTTTATTAATGCACCATTCAGAACTAAAGTTATATCTAGCGTAGTATTTTTAGAAGACAATACAGGAAGAGAGCTTGTGTTTATTTTTGCAATAGACATATGTAGCGCTCAGTCGTTAATTAGATGCGGAAGTATAAAATCGCAAGATAACTTTAATAAAAGGCAATACCTAAATAAAGGAAGTTGCCTTTTCCGTTCTAGAAAGAAACACGAGGCAGATAAATGAAAGGAAAGCAAAGACGTCAATTCTTATATGTATTTTCTAGAATAAAATAATCTTCGCAATATTAGTTACTTGTACCGCGTCTACTTTGTTTTTATTCTTTGTCGAGACACGCTAACATTCTTCAAATGTTTATAAATACATTGATGTGTTGGAAGATATTTGTAGCCACAGAAGCGCAGCTTACTATCCAGTAAAGAACATCGGTAGTGCGCATTATAATGTAATACTGATACAATAAATCATATGTAATTGTTATTACATATTTCACTGGTAATATATAACAAAACATAAAATTATATTACGTTAATTTAGAAGTATATTAATAATCTTTATAACGTATGAAACATAAAAATTATATCTGGCCAATAACGCCGTGCTTCGATCAACGCAAGGAAAGTGTCCCACTAAACCACGTCACGTTTGCATAAATGGCAGATGTCGTTTATAGAGAGTGGGTTACGTTGGCAAAAATTCTCTACACTCATTATAAGTATGCGAAGTAAGTCATTAGAAAGTTACATTTGCATGAAGATACAGAATCAAAGAAAACGAGCAAACTGTCTCAATCATTGGAAAGGGAAGAATTAACTTTTCAAATTGCGTAGAATATTTTTTGTCTAATTAAAAAGGTTTTATTTAATATGATCATTCATCTTTATCATTATTTAAACAATAGATACCTCGACGTACATTTCTTGGTCGTTTGCGTTGCCTATAAAAATATTTTGTCTAGACGACGACAATAAAAGTAATTATAACGGTTGAGAATTTTCTCAATATTCATTACTGCATAAAGTATTATCATATCATACTAGCTATGAATTTTTACATTTTTTTGTTCCAATATGACTTGTTAATAAAAAATTAAATCGCATCAGTTCAAAGATAAGGTGTGTATCTTTACAGACTTGCTACTTTGATCCCGAGTTATACATCAAGGGCTTGTATTCACATTAGCCTTTATTGCTCTATAACTCGTGTTAAAAAAGCGTATGAAAGAATTATTTCTGTTTTCTTTATGAATGTAATGTTACTAATATAATTACGCAACTTTAGATGGATGGATGTTTGAGTTTGTAGCCTAAACTGCTGAACGTATCTCGATAAAAATTGACATAGATGTAGGGGATAGTCTGAAGAACATATAGGCCACTTACTTCTATTTTTTTTAATTTCTCGCGGACTTAGTCACGGTCGAAAGTTTAGTAAAATATAAATGGAAAAAATACTATAATTCCGCTGTGCATACTTGCGTGAGTAGAACGAGTAATCGTGAAGATATTAATGTCAAGGTCACAGTTTGGCCATAATTTGAAGGTATCTCTAATGCTTTGTCAACTATCGCAAGGTTAGTAAGTAATTTTACGTTACACTTAACCGTTAAATGCCTTAGTTAAATAAACGATCATAACGTTTTTTTAATTTATCATTTATTGCTTGACCTCAGACGTTTCTTCAAGTAAAAGGTGGGCCAATTGTTACGTTTTTCATTGACTAACAAAATGTATGCTTAGAATTTACTACGTACAAAACGTTCCAAGTTACGTTATGTAAAGAGGTCAATGTCAAGAACCTAATGATTAAATTGATATTATCTACTCTACAAATATTTCTATAGTAATGTATCAATGTGTCTTACGTTAAAAAAATGTTTGTATGATTTACATAGATTTATGTACATTTGTGGCCAAATCTATACCCGATGTGTATGTTCAGATGTTCTCTTTTTGTATTCTTTTCAATGTACATAAATAGCATTTATTTTCACATTTATCACATTATATAACTATGAGTAAGTATATCTTAGTAAGAATAGAATAAAAACGTATTTATAATGAGAGTAAAAAAAGTATAATTAACTAGTTCTCTAACGAGGATCCATTTGACTCATTGGTTAATGTGTCCTCGAAACGACCTTGCTCTCACAAATACCACAGAACTAGAGTGGACCTGCTACTTGTTTCGACCAGGTGAGTGGAGAGAACCGGTTATCCACTGGGTGGGTGTTAGGTGTCATCAGAAATGACATACCACTTGACTTTGTGAAAATTTCAAATCTCAAACTATTGCTTTTTCGTATTTATGCCTGTAATTATAATATGTAACTTGCTTTGGCAAATTACAAAAATATTAAATCTTAACTAAGACAAATAGGAAAGATGGTATTTTTGTTTTTTTTTAAACTACTAAGCCGATTTCAACAATTAAAAGCTATGTTATCACTGAGTACCATAGGCTGTATTTTTTACACTCCACGCGGACGAAGTTAGGAGCAACAGCTAGTTTAAAATATATAAAACAAGGTGCGACTTGCCTATTATTCACTCTATTTATTTATTTTTTTAATTTACATACGAGAAGAGAACGTCCGTCATAATATATGTATGTGTATTTGTTTAATAATGTTTTCTGTTAAACGATTAGTATTAATTTAATACAATTGTATTGCACGTCACAGGCAATTTGCATCTTTCTTCGTGATTCGCAGATGTTTGTCGGTTACGGTCATGAACGTTATTACGTAGCAGTAAGATCTATTTTCGGCATCGTTACAGCTGCAACTACAAGTATCGTATTAGTGTGACGTATGTATGACGCGTTGTACCATTTTTTGTCAGTAGTGACATATTTGTGACCTACATCCAAAATATACAAATGTCCGATATTATCGCAACTCTATATTACAAATCATAAAACGCAATAAATTATTTAGTTGACGATAATGGAAAACTTATAATATGGTGATTTCTGGAATATTAAAGCGTAATCAATGTCGTTGACGTTGTATATGATAACGATAAGTATAATAGAAAGTGGAATGTAGCAGTCAAATGGTTTATATTGTCAACAACGTGTTATCAAAGTGAACAGTGGAGTCGGACTTGGGTTTCCCTGGGCGAGACTTCAATTATGGCGGCGAATCTGACGCAACAGAGCTTGTGTCATCGTCACACCTCCCGGCGCGTGCGTGTACGCTTCACACGATAAGAAACATTTAAATCGCTAACTTCTTTCCGACCCAAAAGATGTGGTAAAGAACAATAATAGCGTTAGCGTTATAATATCCTTGAATGCTCATAGAGTTTTTTATGTTTTTGAAGCGCTTGAGCACCATCCTGAAGAAAGTGATAATGGCAGTCGAAAGATGATACGCGCTAGCTTCACTAAATAAGGTATTTCTGGAATTATATAATGTTGACTAACTCTCGCTAGTGCACCTACGATAAGAATCTGGGACAGTACGTTACCGTTTTAACCTGTTAAACCTAAAGATAAGCCATTAAACCAGTAAATGACACTCCTATATTTTTCGTTAACGGTTTATCTTTAAATTTAGGACATTGATTGTAAGGATGTGATACGAATTAATACAGAAAAAATGAACGCAAGTAATGACAAAACATAAACTGCTATGCATTCTTGGTTATGAATAGAATTAAAACAAAAAAAAAACAGCAATGCAAATAAACAATACGATATAAAAAATAAATGTCGTGTTTCTTAATCTAATTAGAGTATAGTGTTGGTTCTGCATCTTCTATTTACTTGTTTCAGCTAAAAACAAGAGAACGCAATTGCAAATCCAACGCCAATAAAATCTACAGCTTTTGACAAATATAATCGAATGAATGATTATTTCCAAACAAGAATTTTACTAACTAATTGCATTATTTTTTTCCCTTCACTTTACGACATAATTCAATGCACGCCAATCAATTCCAATTTATTATTCGCAGTGCAAAAGCGCAAAGGTTAAGTTGAAAAGATTGTGCCTTGTGAATTCTGTGCACGATATAATTTCTTTTAAAACTTTTCAAACTGAGTAAAAAGTACTGTTTTAGGTATTTTATCAAGTCAGGTAATTTTTATTTAAGCAGGCGTCAACGAGAAAAATCGTTTTTTATTATGTACAAGATGGAAAACGCTCATTTACTCTAGAGGCGCCATCACTTTAATGCATGCAAGCATGGTATTAAAGTATTTTTCTTTAATTTCCTTCGCGTATATTGTTACTTGCTACTCGTCTCCGAGCAGATGAAGTAAAATTTTAGCTAATTTCGATTCCCGAGTATTTATTTGCCATAGATTAGAAAGGAAAAGGATGAACTCACACCAATAACAATAGAATATACAGGACCAACACATTTTTAATAAAAAATGTTGGATACTACGGTTTCAATTCATTTGTAGACGTTCCATTGTTTAGACGTAGATAGCATCACTATTATTTCAAATCAAAAAATGTTTACTACAGGATAAAGAACGTCAACTAGTAATCTTATCGCAAATGAGGTCAACTGGAATGACTGCTAATTAACGTTTTATAAAATTTGATAATAATTTTGTTACATTAAAGAAAATGTTTTACTTATGTTTCGTTTGTATAAAGTAAAAAAAAATGAGTGTCAGAAGTGATATCGCAATCTTTATGGTAGCGCTCAGCTTATTCGAATAGATAAAATTTAAAATGCGACTAGATACGTAACGTGGTGACAAAATTATATGTACGCAAAGGACGGTTAGTTGTTGCAGGACAAAATCAATTTTGGTTTCCAGGAACTTGGCTAAATTCTTTCCCCATGAATAAAAAAATCTTTCCCCCTAGCAACAATGTGCCACATGGTTACATGCGCATTGTGTTCACACAAAGGGACCATAGCGGTTATACGGAAAGATAAACAATAGT